AAAATTATTAAATTTAATATTGATAATATAAAATTAATGTAATATATATTATCATATAAAAACATAATTTTTTTATTAGGTATTTTGATACATCACAAACAAGAGGTATGTTGCTGTAAAGGTGTATGGTGCCATAGAAACAAACATTAGCAAGAAGAAGTATGTTGCTGAAAAGATGGGTGTACTATTGAAAGGAACATCAACAACAAGAGTTATATTGCTGAAAGGTTGTGGACTACTCTCTCCACCTATATTTTGGTGCCGGAAACCACCTATATTTTTTACCAACTTGGACCATATTGGTGAAAGTATACAATCAGCAACAAAGAATATGTTGCTGAAAAGTGAAAACCCACTCTTCCTCCCCAACTTTTACCATCACAAGCCATGTTGTTGAAACCATATTTTCAGCAATGTGGCTTTTCTTGCTAAAAATCATGTTAGATTCTAGTGCCGGAATCTGGCCATTTTTCTCCCAATTTTTAGCAACATGAGCCATATTGCTAAAACCTTATCTTTAGCAATGTAGCTTATGTTGCTGAAGAGGGTGAGGAAATTCACTTCCCCTCCCCACCAGATTTCGGTGAAAGTTTTCAACAAAATAAGCTACGTTGCTAATATTTCTTTTTAGCAACATAGCTTATGTTGCTGATATATTAGCAACATGATTTTGGTTAGTAATGTATTACCCACCAAACCTTCTCCAACAAAACTTTTAGCAACCAAACCTATGTTGCTGAAGGACTTTCAGCAACATGCTTCAGGACTTTTAGCAAAATGCTTCCATGTTGCTGAAGATTGAGATTTTAGTAGTGTGTCCACATACATTTTTCTGGTTTTTTTTTTTTTTTTTTTTTTTGATCAGCACATTTTTCTGGTTTTTGAGTTATTGCAAGGTATGGGAAAGAACATTCTTCTACCAATAAGAATATTCTTGCAGAAGGGGTGATGAAAAAGGCAAAGCTAATCAGCAGCCCCAATATTCTGGCACTAATGGCAACAAATTATTCTGTACCTCTGTTCAAACAGGAATTGATGACAAAAGTTGTTTTCCCATGTTTGACAAATAAAATAACAGGAACCTCCATAAGCCAAATTAATAGCATTGTGAATGATAAGGTCAAAAGTTTTGAGTAACAATAAGAGCAAGATGAAGGATATTTCATCTTACTTTGGTTTTTTTTTTTTTTTTTCAATTAATCATAGAACGTGATAAACAATACATAGCAATGAGGAGTGCATGGCAAAAAGTCATTAGTGTCCGCATTTTTCATCAGCCTTACACGAGTCACAAGTCTGACCCCATCTTATATGTCAGATTTGTGTGGTGTCTACTTGGCATGTTTCACAAGTCTCAAATCATATATGTTGGGTCTACAGACAAGAAAAATGAAAAAGGAACAAATTTCAATGCAATGGATTAATAAAGAATAAATTAAAGCTTTTTGACAGACAGAAGTTCCAATCCAATGTTGATTGTGCAGAAAGTTTTGTCCAACTTCCACAAGAACTCAAGAAATAGGCAAAAGGATCCTCGTAAGGAAAGATGATTTTTTGTTTGAATGCCTTCGGTTGGATCTAAAAGAATACTTTGAAGAAATTGGGTTGATTTTTGTTTCTGGATTAATCCAAAAAAAAAAAAAAGAAACTAAAAAAATCTTAAAGAAAAAAAACGGAGATTTGATCCATGTTCTCTGAGTTTAGTGTGCGGGTTACGTTTGTGGAGCCTGAATC